CGAGGAGCATCCGGGAGCCATGGCGGTTGACAAGCACCAGCTTACTCCGCAGTCCCATGAGTGCGCCGAACGATTGGGAATTAGGGTCAATCCACATGCCGCGGAACTGTCTTGATTCGAGCCTGTTGGATCCGGGCTGGAGGGAGAACTGGAGCCGCAATCTCGGAATCTCGATATCAAGACCGTCAAAGGGCACTTGAGTTTTGTCGAGGCACACATGCAAATGCTCCAGGTCTTCGATAGGGCGGAGAGCAGCAGCAATCGCCGTCTCCGTTTTGCTGTGTCGTGAAGTAAGGAGACGTGACCCCTTGCGAAGCTGCCAAGTCCCTGCGTGTCCTCGGAACAATGTCCAGCCATCCCTCAGAGAGCCCTCATCTTGGTGCCAGGAGCTTTGGATTGGGCGTAACTCGACGATATCCTTAGCCGTGTTGTACCAGTGCGTGTACTCATCGACGAACGATGAAGGAAGGAGGCCCGCGAAGCAATCTGCAGGAACGATCTGGTATGTGACCTTGCTGTCGCAAAGCGTGGCGCACACGAGCAGTCCGTGGGAATCAGAGAGCCCCATGCTAACGGTATAGCCCGAGACTTCGGCTTTGAGGCCAAACTGCATGCCAGGAACGTCGGTAGGCATGACGTCAAGAACCGCCCTGCCGAATAGCTGCCTGTAAAGCCTGTGGTCCTCATACTGGGTTGGAAGTCGAGATAGCGGGAGACCTATCATTATTGGCGGGTCTAAATTAGCTTGGGAAACAGGCGAAGTAGTCATTGAGGGATCCGGCTTTGTAGGCCTCCAGGAGGAAAGGAAATAGGACAGGATATAAAGAGGAAAAAAAGAACGATCTCGCCACATACCGTTAACAAGTAGCTCAGCTGTCAGCAGGTTAAACATGACGTTCAAGGAATCGCCGTGAATGGGGGCTGTTGTGGTCTCCAGCCAATGCTTCATTGGCGACTGGAGGGATTTCCACTGGTTACCGTTGCTGTAGTTGGACCAGCACTGGTGAACAGCGTCGTCAAGGGCATCTCCTCCACCCTCCGCCGCCGTGAATATGCCGGATAAATAGGCACGGGCACGGCTACAGACCCGCTTCCAGCGAAGAACCATTAGCGACAATAGGGTGCCCTGCGGCCTGAGGTCGTCAGCCGTGAGGCATTCCTGGCAGCTGATAGAGCATTGTACCAGGATCGATGCGTCCTCGGGGCGACTTAGTAGGGGGCGAAGATGGTGCTCCTCGACGTCGAAGGTCGCGATGCAGATTAAAGCAACCTCGGCGATCTTTCCGAACAGCTCCTGGCGGAAGTCATTGTCCGTGATGGACTTTGCCTTCGCGTAAATCGACTTTAGCCAGCCAAAAGCAATGAGACGAGCCTCTCGAAGAAATCCCAAGAAGGCACGGTGCTCATTCTTGTCGGACGAGAGGGTCAAGGCGCGGGTGGCGACGAAGATGAAGTTTGCGAGGGCCTGGGAGGACTCCCAGTTCATCTTGATCCGACCCGCTGCCTCGTGAAGCTCACCAGCCAGCCTGCGGCAGAATTTGACGTCATTCAGGACATGGTGGCCCTCCCTCATGTCCGACCCCTTTGTAGGGGGTCCTGCCTGGTACATGGCCTGGAAGAGGACGACGCTCGTTTCGTCCTTGCGGAAGTCGATAGAAGGAAGAGCAATCTCGCAGAGGATGTTCATCCACTGTATCTTATGCCCCAGGAGGACAGAGGCCAGGGCCTTGAACTCAGGCAGACTCATCGAGTCGGGAGTCTCATGCTGG